ATATATATATATATATATATATATATATAAATTAGTTGCAGATAGTATGCAGTACAGTACCAAAAATTACATGAGCATCAACAGCATGCCAGTCATGTTTATTTCAGGCAGTGAATAATAGATGTAGACTATATGAGACTTTTAAAACCAAGTGCTAGAAAGAAAAGTTTAAAGTATGTTGGTTGATTATCTCTTTTTAATAGAATGACATAATACACACAGCCTCAAATCTACAGTTGGGCCTATGCATACAACCCTGAAAAGACTGTTTATTAATCCTTTCCTATGATGCAGAGAGTTTTGTCCTAAATATGGCCATGTTTATTTCCTGGAATTGATTAAACATACCTTGTGTTATATTGTTCAGCTTTATTGCACAGATATGAAAATTTAGCCATAGATCGTATAAAATGTTCAACAGGGCTGATGTTTGGGTATTCAGTTCAATTCAGTTTATTTATATAGCGCTAATTTACAACATATTGTTAGGAATACAGTTTGTGTGTTTTTCTCTCTCCACCACCAGGTGGTGCCCTGTCCTTGTTGGGCCTCCCAACACACCTGTGGCTCGTTGGTTCATTACCGGAGGAGTATTTGAGCAGTGGGCTGTCACTACCTCAACGCCAGAGTGTTTGCCATTTTGGGGACTCTAGCCAAGCTGAGATTAGCAGAGTCTAACCTAAGCTTTGTTTCTCTGAGTCTTATCTAATTTTTGTCTTTCCTCTTCTGCAGGAAGTCTTCCTGAGTAACTCGATACCTGGACCTTCTCCCCCTGGAATGATTAAGTGAGTACATACTGAGCAGGAGAAAACCTCCACATGATCCGTTTAAGTCCTCATCGGAAATCCAAGTGACAGTCCGCTCCTTTATTCCTCTGGGTCCAACGCTTGTCTATCTGTCCGCTCTCCAACAAGTTCCCTCTTCTCTGCATTAAACCCCACAAGCTGGATTCAAGGATTGACAAGAGCCCCCTCAAACGTGAGTCCCTCTCCAATATAATTCAAGCCTCAGTCAAATTTCCTACGGTCCCTGAACTGATCAATGTGATCTCCCCTTCAGACTTTCCAGTTCTGGTTCACCAGCCCAATGAGTTCCAGACCCAACTTCAATTATTCATTATCATTTAATAAACCTGTTACACTTTTTCCCTTGGTCTCTGGGTGGTTCTCTGCATGTGGGTCAGATCACTTAAACCAATCATGACACATATGTCATCTCAAGGCACTTTACAGTTCAACGAGATCATACAGTCAAATTGATTCAAAGTTTTCTATCTAAGGAAAACCAGTTGATTGTATCGACTCATTGACTCGAAGGAAATCCCTCACACTAAGCATTCCAGAAGCTTTATATTACCTTACACTATTGATTCTAAAAGCCTTTTATTTCCCGATTTTGGATCATTGTCTTACTGAGACATTTAACTATATTCAAGTTTTAACAATTAGACTTTTTATTTTAGCTTCATTTAAAGGCATCAGATTTACTATTGGATTAATCTCCAGCCCCTTTCAAGGCTAGAAATTAATCAGTGGTGCTGTGTGAGTAACAAAAATTTAAACAAATTCAAAACTTCAGTTGAGGTTTTAGAACATGTAACACACCAACTAAAGTTTCTGTTTGAGGTTTTTGGGCTCAGCAAAGAAAACATTTTGAATGCATCCTTATGTGTTTTCCTTGCCTTTGAAAAAACAGCAATGACTGATTCTTTAGTGCCTTAGAGTGACATCTAAAATCACTTTATTATTGAGACATATTTCTTGCCAAACAAGGGGCTGTGTGACAGCTGCAGTGCTGTTGAAATATAAACTGTTCTGCCAAAATCTGTTGGAGCTCACCGGTCGCCGGTTCTTCCTTCTTGGGCCCATCGTCCTTTTTCGATTCCTTAATTTCCTCTTCTTTTTCCTCAACATTTTTCTCCGCCTCTTTCTTTTCACTTGTTGTCTTTGGCTCTTCTTCTATGTCGTCTTTTTTTTCTGGTAATGTCTCCTCCTGTAATTAACAAAGAAAAGCTATTTGAATTTTCTCTGGGGCTAACTTTCTTTCAGTGCCTTATGTTACCACCTGAGTTAAATCGTCCTTAATTTCATAAACCTACAGGGTTATTGCTCAAACTCAGGGATTTTAAAACTTAATGAGTATAACCCTTATTAGATTTCTATAAGATTTACCTCGGCCTTCCATACAGAAAGCCCATATTCTGATCTTCAGCTACCACAGTATACATGTCAGATTAAATAATACTACTTACTTAAGCGATAGTATCAAGGTGTAAATTTATACTATATCCGTTGGTTGTGCTGTTCTTTTTACATCTTTGCAGGTGATAAAGCAGACTGAAGATGTTTTATCGTTATCTCCCTTTTGTATCCCCTATTATCTCCTCTTTCTTTCATCTTTTCTCCTGTTTTTCCTTTCCTGTGCTACTTACATTTTAGAGTCCATATAATCTGTAATTCTCCCTGCATGTATTACAATAAAGCTATTTATATGCATAAATCAAGCGGAACACCATGGCGATAACCGTACTGCTCCACTTGTGAAAGTAAAATCTGTTGGGCTCTTTTTGGCATTAACACAATTATTCTTATTATCACATTGCCAGACAGGACAATGTTAAAAAAAATAGATCAAATCAAAATGGATCAGCTGATGGTAGTCTTAATTCTTATCATATCTGAAATAGTAATTTCATCCATTTACATTTAGGCAGCTTGATAGAAGCATCAAGGGTTTTTTTTTGATAAAAAAATTGTTAAACATTTAATTATTTGGTTGTGGATTGGCTTCCGAGCTTTAACCACTGAGTAATAAGCCCCAACGTTTAATTCTCATACCTCATTTCGCCACAGTTGAAACTAGATATTCTGTCTAAGAAGAAACATTTTTCTCATTCTGTTATCACAACATTGAATAAAAGGCATTAGGTTTTGTAAGACAGTAGAGGCCAGATTTAAAGCTAACTATTTTGAGAGGTTGGTGTAGAGAATAGCTGTAAAATTTGACTAGGATCATTGAGTTTAGAGCAATTCTATAAAAAGATTGAAATAAAAAAAAACAAAAGCATTTAAATACGAAGACATGTTAAAAAGATTTATTTTATTACTATGGCACTGAGAAAATATAGATCATTTGATTGACTTCCCTGACCTAAAAAAGGGAACGCTTAGACTGACTAAAAGTCATATGGTGGGGAAAGAAACAGGGTTGTGAGTCTTTTATATAATATTATGAGTTTTTTGGTTTCAATTAAACCATTCCATTTTGACAGAAGACTTAACTCTGCGATAAATATCAGGTCCGCTCCACATCAATGTCAGGCAGCTTCTGAAACTTTCACTGATCACGATCTGCTACAGCCCATCGCCATCCAAGAAGCAGACTTTCTACATTATATGTGGAGTTAGAGCTGAATAATCTTAATGCTTTTAAGTTTTAGCTACACATGTCTAAAGAAATTCAGGGATGACCGGGTCTTACCTTGGCTGGAGGAGCTGGTGTGGTTGAAGGAGTGGCTGAATGGGCAGGTGAAGGGTCACGAGCTCCCAACAACCTTTTCAACCGGCTAAACATGTTCGAAGGATTTCCCGTGGGCTACAGGGAGCAGGTCAGTCAATCCACTTCTTCTAGCCACTTCCTAACTGAGGGAACCCTGTGAACTGCCCTCTCAGCTCTAAGCAACACACTGAGGCTTTTACATTTCTTAGAATCGGTAATTCCCTGTGGGCACTCCTCCTTTTTGCCAGGGCCAGCACCAGATGAGATATCACACCCACCAATCCCTGCCTGGCCGGCTGATGCTGTACAGGAAAGAGTCTGATTTAAACAGGTAAATTTGCAATTATCACATATTAGTTACATAATATTTATACTACATGAAGGAGCAGCTTATTGTTAGGTTTTAAGGTTAATCCAAATGAAAGACTATGTAAAGGTAAGAAAGATTAAACTAAAATTTCCCTTTTCTCGGTTTCTTAGAATCCCCTTTTGATGCAGAGTTCAAAAAGAGGCCGTGCAGTTAATCAGCCTTCACAATGTCGCTGTCTGACTAACAGGATTAGACGGGATCTGGAGCTTCTGCTGTGCAAACCTGAGGCTGAGGGACTGACAATAAATGAACAAACACAAGAAAACAAATCAGACTGTTGTAGCATCTGCCATTCATTTATTAAGGTAAATATGGAAGATTACATCAGTCAAATATTACATTAAATTTGTATCAAATCAGTTTGGTTTATAGTGTCAAGCTCCATAATCACCAATAAAAAGCAACCAGTGTAAGACAAAACAACACAGCAAAAAAAAATCTAGAAATAAGTAAAACTTCCTTATATTAAATGTATTTACCCTTAATTTGAGTAGGTAAATAAGATTATTTTCCGAAGGAATAAGTATTTTTACTCTTAAAATAAGACATTTAGATAATATGCACTTGAAATAAGAAAATGCAATTGTTTTTTTCTTATTTTAAACATAAATAGTCTTGTTCCAGTGGTAAAGTCTCTCACTTACCTCCTAAATTCAAGAAAAAAATTACTTATTTTAAGAAAAAAATAACTTACTTAGATTTCTTTTTTTCATTGAATATTAAACAACAACTTTGGAAGTAGATCATGTAATCACTGCGTTTTCTAACCAGTGACGGTTTTTGATATAGGTATGGGCCATAGGGCCTGCCACCCAGGGCACCATTTCATCATGGGGTGGCAAGGATACTTTAAAAATACCAACAAAATTACAATTGTGGGTTAGGTTCTGTGCACATGAAGACAAAAACAAATAATGTCCACAGAAGCGCTACGCTATCGTACATAGGGCTGGGCGATATGGACCAAAAATAATATTCCAATATTTTTAAACTCTGTGGCAATAAACTATATTTATCCTGATACATTTTTCTTTTCATAAAGTAATTATAAAAGGGCATCTCTCAATAAGCCTGGTCAGCAAGACTGCTGGTGAGGCTCAATACTCTCCGCTGCAAAACCAACAAGACCAATGATAGTGAAAAGATTACCACTGACACTGTTGGTCACACTTTTGAAATAGGGCTACACGCTTCTTTCCAGACTAACATGCTGTGTACACAGCGTAAATTAGTCTGGGGCTCTTCAGATCATCAAGCTTTTTTTTCCTACTGTCACACTGTGTCCAACAGGCCCATTTTGTATAAAAACAGCCATAAATACACGAGATTATGTCTAAACCGACTGAAAATGTACCTAATGGCACTTTTAAAACTATAATATTTCAATGTCGACCATCTCGCTATAGATGATACAGACTTATATATTTTATATCTCTATTGAATAAAATCTTGATATTTTAAAACTGTTGATAGATGGCCCATAGGTGGTGCTATGACAGTCAAAGAAAACAACTCATGCAAGGTATAAACAATAAAATGGCAGCATAGAGGAGCATGTGGCTTTCTGTCATGGCTTTAAAAAAGATATAGATGCTATTCGAAATCTTCCTAATCTGAAACTGGCTTCCAAAACAATATTTACCTGGTCTGCCAAAATTGACCCCTGTGAAGTAACTCCTGAATGATTTGCACAATTACGGTAATTTCTTTGTGGTCAGGGCAAAAGTTTCTGTTGCTAACTAACAAACATAATTATAATGAAAACACTGTAATGTCAGCTTCACACAGAATATTTGTGTTTTGCTGTCCTTTCCAAAAATATGACATTTTGGATAATGCAGAAAATAAGACTCACTCCTTTACGTGGCAGCATGACAGAAAAACCTCGTCTGTGATTCCATCGGAGATGGAGTCTGTTTTTAACAGATGATGGAGCAAAATGTGTTGATTTCTAAAAAAAAAAAAAAGCTGAGCCAGAGAGAAAGTCAGACATGAAATAGAGGGGATTGCTTTGCATGAACAGATCCTACCAGGATCCAGTGTGGATTTTCTCACTGTGCTCTTTGCTACAACAGACGGAGGAGATGCAGAATGCAATCAGTGTGGATTGAGGGCACACTGATTAAAACTGATACACAGCTTTTTTAAAACAGACTTAAATTATGAAAGTCAAAAAGCACGATTCAATTTGTGATTATAAAAAAACAAAAACAAAAAAAACAACCTTGGCACAGAAAGACAGGTGGCATCCTATCGAGAACCGCCACTGTTTATAACCGCTACTTTGGTTTTATCTCCTCATTAGATTTACAGCATCCCTTTAGTTTTGGGAGCAAAATATTGGGCTTAAAGCTAACAAATCCATCTAAAGTGTAATCTTCCACTGAGAGGAAACATACCACACACAAAAAAAAGATATAAAACAGTACAAAGAATCTGAAAAAAAAAAAAAATCTTCAACTTTACTCCCAAAAATGGAGAAATCAAAATGAGTACAGACTTCATCTGAGCCCTCATTGGTCACCAGATTTCTGTGTGAAAAAAGAAAACATATCAAAGATAATTGTACCAAACTACTTTAATGACAAATTCTTCACATGAACTATGTTACATTGTTTGGTATAACGATTGTTAACTAACCTTCAGTCTGTCAAACATGTCTTTGTTAATGTTTCCTCCAAAAGCTCGCAGCAGTTTGGGTGTTGGTGGTTTGGGGCCGAATAGCGCGTGTCCTTTCTTCTTCTCTTCCGCTACTTTAGCTGCTGCAGGCCCCTTAGCCTTCATTAGCTTCCTACAAACACAAAAACGTTCAAAACCGTTTCAGAAATGTAATAAAATCCATTGTAGTCGTTGCCATTGCGGTTCATTGATGTACAAAAAGCTTATTTAAATGCCTCTTTTTTCGGTTTATATGTTTTTTAAATGTAAAAATGAATCTGACATTTGCATTAAGTCACGAAAAAAGTGCAGAAGTCCTAAAATTTACATCCACCCACCATTGGCAAAAATGTCACATTCATTCTGTTCTCTCAATTATTCATCTAAAATGATATTTTTCTAGAATAAAATATAATAGAACAGAATAATATGCTGCTCTAGCTTGAAATTAAGATGGATTTACTCTATTCTACTACAGTCAAAATTATGCATACAAGCTAAATTACATACATACACCGGCACTAAATTTGGTCGAATGCTCTTTCATACCACCATTTGATTCATGTTCTTTACAAATTTGGAAAATGTATTACCTATCATAGACCCAGAAGGAAATAAAGTTTAAAATATGTAGACTACAGTTTTGCAGTTGAGGCTGGGGATTTAGAAAGGCAGTCATAAACTAGTTGGATCTGTGTTTAGGATTGTTATTCTGTTAGAGACTGAAATGTGGCCTGGACTTTCTTGTGAACAGTTTGACTGGAATTGAAATGTAATAATCTAGATCTATGTTATTCTACCAACTTTATAGCAGCTATACTATAAATACTCCTTTGAGAATGTATCAGTTCGGCTAAATCGCTCAATCTCTGTCCTATATGTCCATTGAAACATTTTACCAGTACTCATTGTAGGAAACTAGTTACGAATCTTATGGTTGTGGCACTGTGGGCCTTCCCAAAGGCCTCTACACCCGTGCATATTTAGTCAGGTTTAATAAAAAAATATATAATAAATGCCAATCTCCAAATCGGTAGTATCTCAGCAATGCCTTCAAAGGTCTTTACTAATTTCTGTCAATATAAGCCAAAGTTTTTCTGTTAAGACCCTTTACTGAACTTCTTGGATTTTGCAGTTGTTTTAAGCCCTGATCACAGAGAGCTCCAAAAAAATCCTTTAACTTTTGGGAAAGATATATTTTCAACTGCACCAATCATAGTCATCAATGAGAAGTATGCTGGTCTTTGTTTTATTAAGTTTCACACTGTTAAAATATTGAAGTAAATGTATAAACAGGTCTATGAAATCTATTTCTGGTTTTGCTGGTTGTTCCACCCTCATTTATAAGCTGAGGGTTCACCACTGTTTTATATTTTCTTCTTTTAGCCAACTTCATGTTGTCAGACAGGTTCTATCTGAGGGAGTTCTTGGTTCTAATAGTCTGGCAGAAATGTCATTTTACCCCAGTCCAAGTTTATTTATATAGCACTTAGGGCCAAATTGCTGCACAAAAGAAGAAAAAAAACACATCATAAAATGTACTTAGATTAACAAAAAACTATATAAAATACAAATATTTAAAACAATATTGAAAACAAAAGGAACAAAACATAAAATCCAGATCCTTCTAAGTAATAAACACCATGTCAGGTAAAAATTAGTTAATCAAAATATAATTATAAAGGGTCATTTAAAAAAAGGTAGCAAATACATGCTCTCAGACCGGTATTATTTTGTTTCCCATTAATTATTAAAATTATCCTTGAAGTTTTATTTTTGGTGTGGATATGTCTGTTCTTTAGCCTGGGTGCCATTCCGAACTTAGTCCCGCCGACAACGTTTGTGGTCGGGAAGTTCGGTCTGGCATTGCTCAATAGTAGCGCGAGTATGCTTGCACAATATCTGGCGGGCCAATCAAATTGTCAGGGCGGGCTTTATACGATGATGGGCAGATGATCAACAGTAACGTAATCAACCACGTCACCAAAGCGTGCTTGGGTGACAACAACAATGGCTGCCGCCGGAGAGTTGAGGTGTGTAGATTCTGCTATTAGGTCTGTTCTAGAAGATATCGACAGCAAATTAATTTTAAAAGAGGAACAAGAGAAACGCTATGAAGTCTCATCTTCTTATTCTAGGCGTGCAACTGCACGCTTTGATTTTTGTTGACAACAACTATGCGTCGCTTAACATACGTCACGCACTCCATTGCTCTTATTGGTTGTAGGTCTATCCAATTGAGTGCAGAGGCTTTTTTTTTCCTGGTTCGTTCAAAACACGCCCCATAATCACAGCTCTATGGAGCAGTATCAGACTCATATTCTGACTAGAATTGAGTAGGACTACGTCAGGCTATCTGTTCTTAGCCTCACAGGCTCCAAATGAAGGTAATGAGAGATAAGAATGAGTTACACATGGCATGAAGGTGAGGACTGTTGTTTTGAGAAGATCCATTTGGCCAGTAAAGATATATTAACCTAACAGAAAAAAAGTTGTTTTGCTTCAATGTTCAAATGTTAGAACGCTCTTCATGCAGGGAGTGGGTTGGTTGCCCTGGGGGTAGTGTGTGTGTGTGTGATTTTGTAAGGTATAAATGTATGTACTGAGGACGTTAAATATATTTGTACCCTATTTCTTGCAAGAAATGCCTCTGCCTCAGCTTCCTAACTTCATGTTGGTATAATTATTGTTTTTATGATATTGTGTTTTTAAATTGTGACAAGAAAACAAGCGCGTTGATAATTTGTAAAGTGTGGAAATACTTTTAGTTTTCTAATGATGGTGACAGCATAGTTGAAAAACAAGTACTGTCCTTTCACATTATAGAGTATAACCTTCTAACCCTGCAAAAGGATGGATGAAAGAAGCCATTAATGCGATGTCCATGCATCAAATATCTATACATTTCTACCTCTACTGTAAAGACATCCTTAAGCAAACGTATGCTTAGTTTTCTCCTTCAGTTGAGTGCTGTACTCACCTGCCCTTTCTGGCCAACACCTTTTGAGACTCTGGATAGTGGACCAGAATGTCAAACAGGTCCCTCTTTTCCAGAACGAAAAGATTAGCAAAGCCATATGCTTTGACGTTGGCTGTTCGCCTGTTCCCTCCGTCTTTAGATGACTGTAACAAACTACAGAAAACAGTTCATCTTTCATTGTAAGGCCATGTACATCTGACAGTGAAGACTTCTCTTCTAACTGACCTGATTTCTCCAAACACGCAGCCTGCCTTCAGCGTCACAAACACAATGCTGTTGTCGGGTCCTCCCACCACCTGCACCGCTCCACTTTTGATAATGTACATCTCCTTACCGATGTCACCCTGCAGAGGGGGAAAAAATCAAATAAAGAAAAAAAAAATAAGATTACAAGTCTATTCAGTGCCTATTCACTTGCCTGTGAAGTTTTTTTTCAAACCAATCACATGTAATTAGTGTCATAAACACATGAAACACTGAATTTCTAAGAAGCTTTTAGACATTATTTATGGTATGCCTGATTACCATGACAAAACACATAAAAGGTGCTTACATAGTCCTACCATCAATACTGAAATACACAAGCAGTTTTTATTGTACACATTGAAAGTAAAACACATTTTGTTTATTATCCAGTCTGCCTGATCTTTAATGAAGATGATTCTCTTCATGAACATCTGACAAAACATTTTATCCTCAGTTTGTGACATGACTATGTTTGTTATCACAGTATTGGTGTATTTTATTTTGTAATTGTTTAACAACTCTTTAAGGTGGGAAATTAATGCCATTCGGGTAAGGCAGACGTGTGTGTATCCTAATTAGAAAGAAAATAACTTCCATAAAGGGATGCCAATAAGAATAAAATAGTTCTCTGTTAAATAAACGTCAAATTTAAATGGACTATAAGTGTAAAACGTACTGTATAATTTCCGCCAAATAATTCTCATTGTTACCCTGGAATACAAAGATCTCTTTCATAATTTTTCCTCTCCATTAGCAACTTCTCAGTCAACTTATTTTTTCAAACCTATAGGTACTGTCAGGCTCTGTGAAGTTTTTTAGAGGACCCAAATGCAGAGATGGAAGCTGAGGTGGTTTTGTTGCTGATTCAATATGATCCAAAGCAAACAGAAGCAAAGTCCAAAACAAAATATAGAAAATTCAGGAGACGTCAGGGAAACACACCCGAGGAGCTAAAAAAAAAAGTTACCAGCAAAGATTAACTGAACAGGAGGTGTATATATAGGAGACAGAATCAATGGCAGGACTAATTAGCAGATGAGGAACAGGTGTGGACAGAAGAATCGAGACGGGAGCTAGGAGAAGGAGACTGATGCAGGTGAAGATTCTCAATAATGCAGGTCATAGTCATTCCAGGACAGTTAAAAAAAAATCCACTGGACTTTGTTTTTCAAGTTTGAAGACATTTCGCTTCCCATCCACAAAGCTTATGCAATCAAAATGTCAGAATTAGCATTGAGTTCCAAGCTTTATAGAGTACAAAGCCTTGTTTTGGCTTAGAAAACATGCAAATCAAAAGGACTAGAATAACACAAAATGGAAATAAAACCAATGAAAACTTAAAAAGAAAACTTAAAAATAGAACCAAAACCATGACAGGTACAGTCCAGATCTACTTCTGCACAGTGCATAGCCTTGTGTGCACTTCCTGGTTCCTGAGTCAGTCATATAAGAATTCCAAGGGATGGCAAAACAGAGCGCAGCATTTGGTATTGTCGGAGTTGTGGTTTTGTTATGTTTTTTTTCTTTTGAGTATTCAGTTTTGCTTTGCCCCTATGTTTTCTAGTTTTAGTGGTTTCATTCTTATTTTATTATGTTTTCTGGTTATTTCCGTTCTCAGGTTTTCATTTGTTGCCCTCTACTGCCCTCTTGTGTTCTCCTTTTTCCCTCACTCCTTTCCTGATTCTGCGCTGTTCACACCTGCTCATTAGTCCTCTCTTTGTTTCAGTCTCCCTTAAATACTCTCTCTCTGTTCAGTTCTTCAGTGCTGGTTCCTCGTCTAACTTCCTCCAACTCTCTGAGCCTTCCTCCTCGTGATAGTATCCCCCCTGTTGTCTCCATTGTTTCTGGTTTGTTTGGACTTTAGTTTTCATGTTTGGATTTTTGGATTTCCTGCCTCTGTGTTCAGTTAACCTTTCATTAAACCCACAAGAAAATCACCTCTGCCTCCCTGCCTCTGCATTTTGGTCCACAACCCAAATATGTTTATAAAAAAGTAGCAACCCTCAAAAAGACAGAGAAGTAGACCAGACCAGGATCTTTCAAAAGTATTTGCACAGAAACTTGCTATGATGCATTATCGCCTTTTGACATCTTGAATTTCAAGCAGTACTTGTTGCTAAACATCTTTGTATAGACTATGCTAACAGAATCCTTATAGAGATGCCAATGAAAGAGGTGGGTACATTCTACAAACAATATAATGTCAAATTATGTATTCAAGACACATGTGGGATAAAGAGACCAACTCACTTTTTTCACCACAAAGTCTCCTGGTAGATAGATGATGGACTTTAGCCTCAGTAACATGTCCACTAACATCTGCTGGTCACAGCCCTGTCAGAGCAGAGGTGTGTTAGCAAAACCATTCCTCTAAAGATGTTTGATGGATGATATCCTGTGGCTGCACCTTAAAGAGATCAATCTTCTGAAACGTTGCCAGGTTGATGTCCACAGCGATGGCAGTCCTCATTACAAGCGGCATCTTTTCAAGCAATTCAGACTCATCTGGACATTAGAAAACAGGAAAGGTTAGGCCAACAGAGTCAACTCATGAACCCTAAATTATTCAGCCAGTCTTCACTGACCCAGCATGCCCTGAGCGTCCCAGGTGTAGGTATACCAGGTGCGGACTCTGTTCTGCACCAAGGAGGGAATGTTGTTGGTCACCATGTAAGCCACTGTGTTGTCCATTGAGGTCCGGAAGTAGGTCTGTCCTGCTGTGGCTGCACCGATGACATCTCTCATCTGAGGCAAAATAAGGCATGTAAACAGAGGGGAAAATGCTATTAAGTTGCTTGTGTGAACTAAAAATCATAAATGATGAGCTATTGTTGGTGAAAAAGTATTCATACCCCTTGATATTTTTAACATTTTGTTACAATATCAAACTTCAGTTTTATTCAATGTGATTGAACACATGAAATAATGCACAGTGTGCGATGTTTTAGACGCAGGAGAAGACTATATGGCTTTTGTTAGTTTTAAAATCTAACGATGGGTGGATTACAGGTGCATTAATTTTCCTTCCCTTATTGATAACCTTTAGGAATTGGAACCTTTTAATCAAAAAAATGTATGTAGTCCACCATTTGTTTATTTTCTTTCCTTTCTTGGTATATATAGAGTGGTCTGTAAAGTCCTTAGGGGTTTATTAGAACATTTCAGTGAGTAAATAAGATCATGGAGATCAAGAAACTGAATGATAACATTGAGGAGAAATCTAATATGGTTTTATGAAATTATGTTAAATAAAATGCACCACAGAAAACTATGGTGTAACACATAATCACCTCAATGTGAATTGGAAATGTTTATCCCCAACTTGAAAACTCCTTAGCCTATAGATCTTAGAGGCAGAAAAACTGTGTGGGTTGTGCTTTTTTTTCCACCATGGAGTGGAAATTTCGTCAACTAAGAGGGTGAAAAAGACCTAAGACTGAGGTAAAGATTGCTGTTCCAACAAACGTAAATATACAGCAAGAGCAGGAAGGTTCTCCATCCTGTTCCTCAGCGACCTTTATGTTTAAGATTTCTCTTTACTCTAACAGACTTGAAATAACGACATCACCTTCTCAGCATGCCATCAAGGACTAAGGCCTGTTAAATATCAGTTTACCTTCTTATTTTAAAAGGTTAACTGACTGCGTAGAGAGGCTCTGACTAGGCAGGGCGGGCAGATCTGCGCAGATTTTTTCCCCTTCTGTCTCTGTGCTATACAAAAAATTTAAACAATTTCCCACATTTGAGTTGGACAGATTATGAAAAGTTATTTGAAAAATGGATTGTTTTTGCATGAGTCTGTCCTGCTTACTATATATAACATGATGTGATGAGTGTTTCCCTGTGAATAACAGATTTTATTTTAGATTTTCCCCAAAATAGTTGTGTTTTACTTTGTAATCGCTTCTCTCTTCCTGTCAGGCCCATGAAATAGCCGCTGAATTGCTGGACAGTCTGACTAAAATAGATCTGTAGTCTATCTCAGTTGGACCTAATCAAAAGTACCTCAAAAATATGCAGCTGTATTATTGGATGTTCTTTGAATTACTGACATACCACTTCTCAATTATCCTTAATTCATGCTGGTGTATTACATATAAAATGTCAATTGAATTTGTTAAAGGTTGAAGCTGTAAAGTTAAAAAAAGTTCAACAGGTAGATACTTTTGCAAAGAGCTTTACACACTTATAAGAGAGAAAGACAGGGAGACAGAAAGTATACAGCATTATGAAGGTTAGGAGGAGTTTGGGTGGCTGGAGTGATTGATCATTGTTCCTGACAAGACGTGTTTCATCCAGTTACCATGCCATCAGGACATGTCTAAAAAGGTGTCAGTGTGTTAATTAGAATAAGGAAAGAAGAGCGGACAGAGGTGTTGGTTCTATGGCCTACACTATGGACAATGTGGTGTCAGTGTTACCTGTCCAATCAAACTTGAGAAGACAAAGACGCCTACGAAAAAGTTTGTCATCTGAAAGGTTATCTCAAAGACAGTGTGGGGCTCATTTAGTCCACCGATGTTGATCAGACTGCGGACAGCGTAGTAGTAACAGCGCAGGTACCTATGAGGGAGGAGAGGCGGTGTTAGAGGGACATTCACCAATGATACTGCTTTTCCTGTGGAATAACCATACATCACCCAGCAGGATATTGGGAGATTTTAGTTGAGAATATTATGTAAGGCAAAATATTAGTAAGGCAAAATATTAAAAAGTATGTGCTACAACAAAGAAGGCTAAATGAACAATAATAATGGACAGAGACAATGATCTAAAAAGGTATTTGCAGCCTAATAATCTCGTCCAAACATGGTATCTTTAAAAGACAACTCAACAAACATCTAAAGTAACTTCTCCACAAGTGGCCATTTCTCATTGAATACTAGGGAGGCTAAACCTCCCCTGTAAAAATATTAACATCATGCATTGTCAAACTTCATAAATGTAGTCATTAAACGTCATTAAATATGCATTAAAATGCACCTGATTTGATGAGTATGTTTTGCATTGATCAGCTGTTTATTCCGCTCTCTGTCTCGATCCCCCCTCTGCTCTGGACCAGCAGGATGCTGCTGGTCAGTCTCTATGAGAAATCCCTGTTGAGGTTTGAGCCTCGGTCAAATGAGGTAAGCAGTGAGAATGTGGAGCCCTGATTGGATAACACGCCAAAATGTATCACTTCCAGTAAGGCTAAACTTCTCAGGGGGTATATGGAGCAGGGGCGTCTCATAAAGCTGCCTGCTCAATGCTGATTGGCAAACATACTTAAAGATTTTTGACTGACTGTGGACAGACAGTAAGGAGGTTTTCCTCATGAGTCCAGAGGGAAGAGTGATCATTCAGTCAGAACAGTCATCTTGTGCCGAAATCTTCTGGAGTTTATCATTTCAGAGGGATTCACATCAGCTATTTTCACCCATTTGTAGTAGTGATGTATTTATGTATTTCAGCATTGAGCCTCTCTGGGTTCAGAGAGCAGTAAACACCACTGTTCTCCACATACAACCAAAAGCTAAATCAACAATAGCAGCAAGTTTGGGATTCCTTTTTAAGCACTTTTTGGACAGTCATTTATTAACAAAAATAGTTTGTTTGTTTTTTTTACCCCAAAATAATGTTTTCTACTTAGAGAATTGCTGTCATAGTGGTACCAATGGTAAAGATGTGTAAAATTATTTTAGATTTCATTTATTAAATATGTTTGCCGCAGTTTGCATGATTTAAACTGAAGGAAAACACTAATACATCCAAACTGTAGCAGGAGATGGCAGCTTCAGTACTCTGTTTTCTTGTGGTATTAAGAGAAGTAAAAGGAGAGGTCTCTTTCTTATCAGATCTCTAATTTAATGACAGAAAAAGAAGCAAAAGAAAAAAAACAAAACAAACAAACACCAGAGTCTTTTATAATTGTATTTTATGATTTTATCAGAGCAAACCTCTCTAATGAATCTCCAAAATATAAACTGCATGTTAAAACAGACTGCCAGTTTTGCTCGACTCTGGCTCCCCCCAGTGGACAAAAGTTGAATTTTTTTGCCTGAAGGAAGACCTCTTCAAAAGATCCATATTCTGCTTTCTGTGGGGTCAATTTGAAATTTAAAACCTCTTTAAAAACCAAAAAAATTGAGTTTTGAATTCTCCCAACATCGGCTATTCTATTTGCATCCACCTTTTTTGTTCATATTTCTATGGCTCTTTCTGTTTGGTTTAAATGTTTCTTGACATGAATACCCTACTATTTGTATCACTTTGTACTTTTCAATTGTAATTAATCTTTATCCGTTCATGTACATTTTTGCCATCCGCTCTGAGAGTCTTTTTGTTTCATGTCAATGTTAATGGCTTAATAAAAACAAAAACAAAACTTTTGGACTTTCTGATCAATTTCTGCTTCACCTCAGTTCAAACAACAGGCAAAAAAATCAAAATATTATTTTAGCCTGCGGTTAAAGCAGATGATAAGAGCCTACTTTGACTGCATATAGTGGAGTGTTTTTCAAGCTTCATCCATTAACTAGAACAAAAGAGACAGCAATGCAAATTCTCAGATCAGGTTTCACAAGGACACGTGAATGAGGACCAAGATCTTTCACACTTACAACAACAATAAATTATTGCTACCAGAAAGGGCTGCATAGGAAAAAGGAAGTGACCTAAATAATCAGGTTAGAAAAAACAAAAACTACCCTTATATAAGTAACAAGTTTGTCGATGTTATCTTGTTTTCATCTAAACCTTTATACAAGCTGACTACTTAGACATAAGTTAATGCCATTCTGACACCACTTTTTCCCAAACTGCTCTATGAAGCGAAAGCACACTATGCATTGCAGTCATTTAAATCAAATATCAGTCAAATAAATGAAAACCATATCATAATAGATTTTAAAAAAGAAAAGCCTGCTTACGCGCTGCCTAGGCCGGAATAGACCCATTTTGTTTCCCCGATGCCCTGATATTCTGAAGCCACGTAGTAGAAGCAAGCATTCAGGTGAAGCATGAAGAGGAGGTAGCCAATGGTGCGAATCACTCTGAAAATAAATGGTAGAGATAGTAACATTACAACGTGAAAACTTGAGGTAGGAGATAAGTTGCTGCTAGAAATGAGTGAACAGCTTGCCTCACATTTTTACTTTATCAAAATCAACTCTGATCGAGTTATTGCTATTTTTGGTCTTCATGGTCAGTATTGCTGACCCTAACCTCGTGTAACTTGCATTGAGCAGGGAGGTATACCTGCTGCTATTTGAAGACAAAGAATCTTTTATTTTTGAAGTACTTGGCTCATGGTATAATTGACATGCACTCTTTAAATCCCCCAAGGAGACAACAACTATATAAAATAAAGCATAAGAAATGTTTTCTTTTTTTAAATGTTGTGGCCCTTTTGCATTATATTTTAAGGGCTTTCTTTAAAAATGCTTTATTAGGAAGTAACTTTTATCATGGATTATTTTTTCAAGTGGATCCTCAAGTTGTTTAAGTAAAGTTAAATCACTCAAAAAAATGAATATTAGTGACAATAATGATCCTTTTACTTTTGTGAAATTCATCAGGTGCAACTCACCTCCAGATGTACGCCTTAGCTAAGATGCTCTCCAGACGGTCACTGAACTCAAAAAAAGTATCTATCTTCAGGATAAGAACAGGGAAATATCATTTGTTTGGAAATGGAAAGGCTACTCTATGCAGATTCGCCACTTTATCATTAGTATATTTACCTTCAGCAAACGGTTGGCTCTGAAACCAGATTTAAACCCAAAGTGGAAGTATAACAGGTCAAGTGGAAGGAGAGCAACAACGTCGGCCTGTTGGTGAGATGCAGATTACAGAGATGGTTAAATCAACTATACTCAGATTTACACAAGGATAAAAGTGTGAACGACTGTCTTTAAATATTGGGGATTTTAGTGACACATAAAATCAAAAGAATAGATAAATCATTTCAAACTGTTTTTATTCATTTTGCACGCCTCTGATGTTGCTGCTATTTTCAAATATCCATTACTGTAAAAATAGCTGTATATTGGTTATTTATTCTCCAGGTGCACAGTATTTATATTGTTAAAACACTTCACAGTGCAGTATTTTATTGTTTATCTTTTAATTCTTCACTATAATGTCGTTCTTATACATTTTTCTTAGGCCCACATTTCTGTGACTATTTTTTCTGTAATCTTTTTGCTGCTGTAAACACCAGAATTTCCCCATTGTGGGACAATAAGGGGATTTTCTATTCTATTCTATTCTATTCTATTCTATTCTATTCTATTCTATTCTATTCTATTCTATTCTATTCTATTCTAATAACATTTTCATCCAGTTCAGTTCAACTGAAACAACACATTTGTTGAGGGTTCTGAAGGGTAGAAGTTCTTTTTTCAGAGATACAATAATCTGGTCAAAAATAAAAAATAATATGATAAAAACATTTTCATTTATTCCATTTTGATAGGACACAGTTGAAGTGGTATACACTAGCTCAGGGGTCTTCAACGTTTTCGAGGCCAAGGACCCCCAAACTGATTGTGAGATGGAGCGGGGACCCCCTAATTATATATATTGTATGAAATTGTGTTATATCAAACTGGTCCTATAGTCACTCTATTAAAGATGGAGTAATGTAACTAAAGTAATTTCTCCCTGGGATTAAAGTATTTCTGATTCCTGGTTGATGGGACAGGTGTTGTGAATAAAACGGTGCCCAGCTTAAAAGAGCTCCTGTGCGTCGCTGAATGTGTGCATTGATGACTGAAGGACATCTTCTGCCTCCATTTATCTGTTTACTACAGTGTGTTGAATTCATGTTAACGTGGAGTTAAAGACATTTTAATTAGTACAAAAAATTGCAGGAGGGAATATTAAAAAAAAGTAATCAACCAAGACTTTCGCGACCCCCATGCAGTACCTTCGTGGACCCCCTAGGGGTCGCGGACCCCCTGTTGAAGACCTCTGCACTAGCTTAATAATATTTATTGACTTTTTTTCATAGATGTTCTCCTAAACTATTTGGACAACCTTGTTTTCCATGATCCATTTAAGGTGATCATGAAGAGTTTCTACTCTTTTCAGGTCTCAGTTGCTCCAATGGATTTCTAAATTTCTCACGGTGCAGCCATTCCTTTTTTATATGCTCTTTACAATCCTTTATTCTCAGCTCTCTAATAGGGACAGAGAGGTTTTCAATCAACTGGTGGCTGAAGATCCCAGAGCATGACTGTGCCTCCACAATGTTTAACTACTTAATGGTTTCCTTTTAGTGATACAGAACTTTTTTTTTTTTTTTTAACTAACCTAACATAACATGTTCTGAAATTGTGGCCTAAACGTTATTTTGGTTTTATTAGATCATTGGCAGCCTCTCTGACCGGTTCATCTCTCATATTTTTAGTTGTTTTACAAAGAAACAAAAGATTTTGCGTAACTTCTATCCTACAGTACAGGCATGTATAAAACCATTCATTTAATAAAGTAGGTGAAACTTAGTTGTACTTAATCAGATTGATATTAACTGATATTGCTGACTCTAAAGTGGCAAAAACAAAGTATTTTGTTGCTAAATTATAGCGACATGAGTCATTACACATGTTCATCTATTTAAAACGGGGAATCAATGTGTTTAATTGTCTTAAGGTCTTTGCAATCTCTTTAATAAAATATTTTATTCTGGAAATTGTTAAAACTTGCCTATTTGTACGGAGGAATTAATTTTGTTTGTGAAAGAGTCCTCATTTGATGCTTCAAAAAGAGAATATATGATAAAGATATATCACAGTGTTAACACTTATGAATTTGTAAGTTATAATAGCTCGCCCTTTAAAGAATCAATTATTATCTTATGTTTTTTTATTTTGTTTAAGGATACTTTATTTATAAAACAAGTAAAGAAACAAACCAAATAAATAAATAAACTCAATAAAAAATCTAACTAAAAGGGAAAAATTCAGAGAGGAACAATATAATGGACCCAGTTTTGGTCTGCTAAGGAAGGCCTATCTTTTAGGTCCAAGGTTGAGACTATAGTGTCGCTTCACTGTAGGAACCGGATTTGACCATCAGCATCTTTGTTTTCCATATTCCTGTATCACTGATGATGCTGACAGGAAATACCTCCACACAGCTGGTGAATCTACACCCTCAGTGTTTTCTTACTCACTCTGAGAGTGATACATTTTTGCCTGAATTCTAATAATCAGTTTATCTAAATTTATAATGATGTCTAATATTTTTTTTTGTTTTTTCTTCCACACTGTTTACATTTGATCACTGCTGCACTTTCAAAAATGGAAATGTCATGAAAGATGAAATTTCATTTTGTTTACACTCTGTGTATAAGTCTAAGTCTATTATTTTATTTGAGAGTCACTAGGAGGCCTTTAATGCAGATTTTACTTTTCTGATCTATTATTTAAAAAAAAAAATTGAGCATCCATAAGGATATAAATTGAATGGTGTTCACACTTATATTATTCTCAGCACTCCATGTTTCCTTGACTAATGGGTTTGTTTTTCCAGTTGAACTGCACACAGTTAGCATGTACTGTATCTCATAAAGATAGAAGTGCAGAATGATTTATCATCATACCGTTTTAATCTCACAATTATTTTTAGATTTTATAAAAACTTTGTACACTCTGAGGTTCCCTTTAAAGATGTGTGAATTTGAGCTAATGTACAGTACCAGTAATCTCTCCGATTCCCTGTAGTGTTTGGTTGTCAAAACACGATCTTTCTAAAAGAGAGAGAGAAAAAAAAAAATATTTCAACATATTATAATTTAGCACTGTCTCTATGCAGGGTTTTATTCCACACTTACTATGATGTCTCCTCCTTTTACAAATTGTTTGCGAGGCTGAAACAAGACAGAGTCTAGAAGGTAAATGATGTCTGCCACGACGTCCATGACAAACCAGATGGGGATGGAGGTTTCAGTGTGGTAAGGGAAACACATTCGGGCGGTAATGAACCATGTGTTGTAGTTGATGGCCACAGTAACCAGACTCAGCCAGGCGATGTAGCGGCGATCTGTGAAGGGGTCGATGGTGGAGCCAATCACAGAATCCATACGGTCCTCCAGAGGCTTCAATACAAAATCCACTGATGACCAATAAGCTGCAATCAGCCTCATCTTTAAGGGCACCTTCACCTTCTTTTCCTCCTCTTTCCTTTTCTCCTCCTCCTCCTTTTTCTTCTGTTCTGCTTCTTTCTTTTTCTTCTCCTGTTCTTCTTTCTTCTTCTTATCTGCCTCCTCTTTCTTTATCCTCTCCTCCTCTGCTTGCCTTGCCCTCTCCTCCATCACCCTGGTGTACTCGTCTTTAGGTAGTAGCGGTGCTGAAAGGGTGATACAACAAATTAGGTCCTCACTTTGCAATCACTGGGTAATATTATCAATAAGCTTGTGCCGTAACTGCTCCAAATGTGAGCATGAAGATGATGAATGTTGTGGTACTTACTGACAGGAGGGGTTATCTCTGGGGAGGAAGCATAGCGGTCAGTAACTTTCTCCTTGTATATATTCAGTCTCTCTCTCATCCGCTGGGCTACCTTTTTGAGCTGCTCATCTGAGTATTTGTTGATGACTATTCGTGGAGAATGAGGGGCCCCGTCTTGTCTACAAAAACAAGAGCCAGTCATCTAAGATCAAGAATGACCTTATTGCTCGCACATCATGATGTAACTGTTTCCTAAAGGCATCAAGGTCCTTCATTTATTTTCATTTTCTCATACTGTATATGTAGTTATTCTTCCTCCAATTATTTCCTTCCTTTGAAAACCAGTATATTATGGTAACTGGACAGTCTAAGTTGGCCTCAGGTTAGTGTTAGAGCTTGAAAGTTTTCCTGCGGCTCTTCTCTGGGATTGACTACCAACCTTTCTAGGTCATTTCCCACTTCTTACGAACTGATCACTGGACATTTAAGCCAAAGCCAAATATAACTTGTGCATGTATCCATCTTATAGATTGTTCTTTTAAATACATTATTTGATAGCTATATTATAAGTCCCTTTAACTTGTTTTGTTTGAAAGTGAAATCCAAAACCTGAAATTGATG